GCCAATAGAAATTAAGTGTTTACAGAAAGGGTTTGCCAGGACAATTTTGATGTTCACACATTCTAGGGTGACTCCTCTGTCTGATTCACTTTTTGAAGTACACATAACTCTCGGATTTAAATTCGAGGTTTCCACATTTATTTAATATCTAAACATTTTCACAGGTGCATAATGCTAATAGTTGGCAAGATCTTGACAACACAATGGAATCTTTTCTCATATTATAAAATGAAAGCATGAATTGAAAACTACTAATTATTAGGATTTTATGAGAGTCGGTTGAAAGTAGTATAGAAAAGTGAGCTCAAAATTTCGATGTGAACAAATCTTTAGTTTAAATGGAAATAAACTTCTAATACATGGCTAACTTTTTGCAAGCATAATAAGCTCACTCAACATGATTCGAGGCTCTCATCATACAATGAAAGTGTTAGCACGACATTTAGAAGTGAGATTTTGACGACGGCTAGAAATTTGGCAGTTGGAGGCTTCCAGGATTGTATCTCTTGATCATTAAAGGTATCCTTCCTTTTCTCACTCAAAATTTTTGTTTATTTTTTTTTGGCCATTATATAATTTAAAGTATTTTTCTATTTATTGAGTATATTTTGAGATGCAAAAATTGTCTTTAAACATTCAAAAATTCTAGAAGTCAAATTTAATAGCGAAAACTGTATATTGCTTCGCGTTTTTCTCAAAATATTTTTTTATGAAAAAAAGTGCAGATATGCCTCCGTTTCTCTGGTATGATAAGTCTGACCGAACTGAAACTTTATTCACATATACTAGACACTGTTTGGAATGTGTATTTGTTTTTTGAATATTATTCTGCTGATTTTTTTATAGTTCTTACAAGAAAAGCTCTATTCAAACATATATGTGGTTTTTTCCGATACCTTCGATAGTTTGGCTTCTTTATTCAAAAGACAAAAAATAAAAAGAAACTATAAAAAAAAATACATTCCTCAAACAATGTTTAGTACCTGCAAAAAAAAGGTTTTCAACTCGATCGAACATAATACCTTGGAGAAACAAGGACAAAATATGAGGCTATTTTTCGCTACTGCGATTCCAGTATCTCATAGAAGATATAATCTAGGAAATTTGAGTTTATGACAACTTTTGTTGTACTCATCGTATCATTGGTAAAACTTTTCTCTCTATCTTTGAACTGATTTTTTCATGTCGTCTTTGTTTGAGATTTTTCTTAGAACAGCTGCTGAAAGTGTTACTAAACTGCAGTTATATTCTTGATTTCAATTTCGTGAAATGAAATATAATGAAACTACTATTTCTTCTATTTATTGAATGAACTTACTATAGAGATGAATTAATGATGGCAATACATAAGGATCATATTTTAATCGAGATGAAATAAGATTATGAATATTTGAACCACGTTTAAGATCACCAATTTCAGTACATGCTTTTAAAGCTCGAATTATAATCCAATTAGAATATTTTTCAATATTATTTTTTTCTTTGTATTTATCAAATAATTCAAGTGACTTTTTAAATTCTTTTTTATCATTTAACAATTTTATTTGACCACCTAAATCAGCATTAGATCGAATAATTGCTGAACGTTTTGCAATAAATATTACAAAACTCAAACAATTATTAACTAGTTTATTTAACATCGAATTATCTTTTTTAAACTTTTTAAATTAAGATTTAAGAATATCAATCAATACTATAACTAAACATGTTAGGTCCGATGAATCATCCAATCAATATCAAAAGATTCACTTGCGAGGCCGCTGAAAGTAAAACATTTCTTGACGAATTCTTGTTTTTGTTGTTCGAATCCTTGAAGAGAAAAACAGATTTTAATTGAATTAAATTATTTTGCCGAAGTCGACTTTCTGAGATCATTGTTGGTGAGTGGTAATGAGTGTATCATAATGGCTACTTTCAACCAATAGAACTTTAACTATAAAATTATTTTTCTCTCGAACATAGTGAATAAGTATTAAATCGCACATAGAATAAGGATGTGAGTGTTTATGTATGAATTTGGATATGGATGAAAAAAGCTAATGCCTACATTCAGTTGACTGTTCGAGGAAAAGTTAAAATACAAGTTCACTCAACTAACATTGATTTTGCCTAATCTTCACGTCGGAAAAGTTAGCACCATATTCGTCTTTATCTATCCGGATTCGCGATATTACTTGGGTTATTTCTAAAACCACTTGGGTTAGGTGCAGAATTTAATTCTGCGTCGAATGGTGCCTGTTTCGAAGAGGGTTATCGGGCAAAAATACCCTACTTCCCTCAAAATACTGGTTTTTCCAGGTAATTTCCAACGTATTCCCTGTCCGAATTCGCTATATTACTTGGGTTATTTCTAAAACAACTTGGGTTAGATGCAGAATTTAATTCTGCGTTGGATGGTGCCAGTTTCGAGGAGGGTTATCGGGCAAAACTACCCCACTTCCCTGAAAATACTGGTTTTTCAAGGTAATTCCTAACGTATTCCCTGTCCGGATTCGCTATATTACTTGGGTTATTTCTAAAACAACTTGGGTTAGGTGCAGAATTTAATTCTGTGTCTAATGGTGCTAGTTTTGAGGGGAGTTATCGGACAAAAATATCCTACTTCCCTGAAAATACTGGTTTTTCAAGGTAATTCCCAACGTATTCCCTGTTCGGATTCGCTATATTACTTGGGTTATTTCTAAAACTACTTGGGTTAGATGCAGTATTTAATTCTGCGTCGAATGGTGTTTGTTTCGAGGAGGGTTATCGGGCAAAAATACCGCACTCTCCTGAAAATACTGGTTTTTTCAGGTAATTCCCAACGTATCCCCTGTCCGGATTCGCTATATTACTTGGACTATTTCTAAAACCACTTGGGTTAGATGCAGAATTTAATTCTACGCCGAATGGTGCCTGTTTCGAGGTGGGTTATCTGGCAAAAATACCCCACTTCCATCAAAATACTGATTGGAAATTACCTAGAAAAACCAGTATTTTGAGAGAAGTAGGGTATTTTTGCCCGATAACCCCCCTCAAAACTGGCACCATTAGACACAGAATTAAATTCTGCACCTAACCCAAGTGATTTTAGAAATAACCCAAGTAATATCGCGAATCCGGATAGATAAAGACGAATATGGTGCTAACTTTTCCGACGTGTGTTTCAAGTACAGAAGCTCTGTTTGTAATGCGGTTGGAAAAGTCCAGTTTATGGCATTCTTTTCTCTCTCGATTCAAAGTAAACAAGTCATGAAATGATGAACCACTGGTTCCATTTATATTTTACTATGACACAGCATTTTTCTTTTTCTGTCAAAATTACATCCGATAAGAAGAAAAAGATTTTTTTTTCTTTGAGGAAATTGAAACTTTTTTCTTTATTAGTTTGTCTGCAATTCAGTCGATAAAAACCTATACATCGAAGATCATCGTCTTCATTTTACGAAGAATATGTCTGAAAGATATTTACAATCCAAGTTTCGAACTTACATTCTTGACAGAATCAACAAATTTTGCTTGAATATAGATTTGCTATTCTTATGTATTTTCTCGTCTGACAAGAGACGGCAAGGGTGTGGGTGTGGATATGGTTTAAAAGAAATATTATACTCGAACACCCACGCTCACACCCTCAAGCAAACAGCCTTTTTAATTGAATTTGAATTGAATAAACAGTTTCACATAATTCAAGAATAACAACTGATATTAGTCATATTATCTCCTATGTTCTCTCAAGAAGTGCACTAAAATATAATATTATGCATCTTGCATATGGTTGTTTTTTAAGACAAATGAAAGATTCTCTGTCTTATCAATAATTCTTTCCGATCGTAAAGGTCGGATGGAGAGTAAATTGGGTGTGACAAAGAAGTGCTATATGAACACACACTCACACCCACACCCACCCTTTCGTGAGACAATATTATTATTTTACGATAATCGGTTATATCATTTTCATGACAATGATTTTCTACCTGATTTACCATTAGATTTCAATGGATATGCTACAATGGAATTCGTAAGAAAATCTAACAACACTTGCCAATGAAGAATAATCAGTTGATTCGAATAGTAATGTTGTTCTTGTCAAACTGAAATCGGTGAATAAGAGACTTACAAAAGCTGTACACACAGAGATCAACCTACATTGACTTGCATCCGATCAATTAAGCTGTTTTACAAATATTATAAGAAAACAACTAGATCATATTCACAAACTAATAAAACACTCATGCATAAAATGCGCAATTTCCTTTCTTTTTCATATACACACGATATGACTTATATCCGACGCTGCAAAAAAAAAACTCAAATGCTTCTTCGTTGAGAATAACATGTACCGGAGTGACTTTTGTTGTTTACCTGTTGATACATTGAGTGTGTGTGAAAAAAGAGTAGAACATCTACATCAATCCACCTAGAACCTCAAATATCGAACCATCAAGTAAAATCTAAGTAACTAACGAAAATTGAAAATTACAAGAAGTCTTTTGAACGAAAATATGAATTCATGTATTTGTTTTGAAATAAAGTTCAAGTGCAGGAACAATATCTTTCTTTCGACTGATTCTTGAGCCTAAATCAGCAATTCCATTTTGAATAGTGACATTAAATGCTTTTTCAACAACAGTTTTTTCTGGTTCACTAAGAATAATCATAGAATTTCGTTCTTTGACAATATCAATAATCGAGAAAAGAATATCAGTTAAATGATGTGTTTTCTTTTCATCAATCATTGCTTGAAGTAATTCATCTTTTCGTTCAAGTATATTATTTGGATAAAATGTTTCGGCTACACCAATACCCCATAATTGATTATTAAATGTATAAGTTTTATAATCGAGAAGAACTTCTCGCATTGTATAGTTGCTTAAATTACTTTTAGCAATAAGCATTTCATTTGCATACGAGTTAACATCAGTGATTTTAGCAATTGGTAGCAGATAATCAACCATTGAACGATCATCATCGGTTGTCGTCGATGATCTATGTAAAGAAATATATAAATTAACTTTTTATTGAAATAAAAAAAAAACTTCGAATTTTTTCCATACCGAAAATGAAGTGTATCACTAAGAATAGCAGGGATAAGAAGTAAGGCTATCTTTTGACTTATACGTAGTTGATTTTCACGATACATTTTTGTTAATATTGTTGCTGTACATCCTACTGGTTCAAAACGAATATAGATAGGTTCCGATGTGGTTAAATCACCTAATTTATGATGATCAACAACGTATTTTACACGCATATTTTTCAGATTTTCCATTGATTGTTGACCTATAATACAGCAATGATCAATATCAAATAGAACAAAAATGTTTCAACTTACTTTCATTATGATCGACTAGAGCAACTGCAGTACCATTCGCTAGATCACTAGGTAACATATTAGGTGGTTGAATACCAGCTGTTTTAAGTACAAATTGCGTCTCTTTATTGAGATTCCCAAGACGATAAGCTTTAGCATTGATTTTCATACGACGAAGAAAGGCAGCATAGACCAATGCACTTACAATAGCATCTGTATCTGGATTACGATGACCAAATACGAAAACTTGATTTTGATTATTGATTGCTTTGCATGATTGAGATTTTTGTTTAAAAACTTTGTTCATATTGAACATACAGTTTGATCGATGGGTAGAAAATGTACATTTCATCAGTAAATAAACTAATATGAAAACTAGTTGCCATTTAAACGATAACATCGTCAACGTACAATGTCAGACAGAATTCAATTAAAAATAAATTCACAAAGAAATCTAGAAATTGAAAATTAACAAGTACAAAATTGCTCGAATATGTCATTAATCAAAGTCACAAATTGGCTCTATGTTGGTCTAAATAAAAACACCGAGTACATTCGATAAACTATTCGAAATAGATTTATTCTTATTATGTTTTTTTTTCGGATTGTTTTTGGCAAAAGTTTTTTATTGGCTATGTTATCATCGATTATACTCATTGATTTAATGTCTTACTTTGAAATATTATTATTATGTGATAGTCAAGTTATTCAAATCGATCCGATGATCAACTGAATATTGATTTTTGTGACGTCAGGCATCCAATAGAACATGTGTATAAACAACCACCTTCGTCTCATAAAACATACGTATGCGTACAGATCGAAGTATTTATGC